TCTTCTTCTTCTTCTTCTTCTTCTTCTTCTTCTTCTTCTTCTTCTTCTTCTTCTTCTTCTTCTTCTTCTTCTTCTTCTTCTTCTTCTTCTTCTTCTTCTTCTTCTTCTTCTTCTTCTTCTTCTTCTTCTTCTTCTTCTTCTTCTTCTTCTTCTTCTTCTTCTTTTCCAAGATAGTTTCTCGGCTTCCTCCCTTTTTACTTAATTAATTTGGAATTTTGTAATTAATTTTTCCTTTAGAGGACTAGTCGGGGAGATCAGCCCCCTATCTTATTCCAAAATTACCAAAACCTCTGCAAAAAAAATTACATACCAATTCAATTATTTTTCTTAACTCACTCTATCCTGTATTAGAAGACAGTTGCTTGGCTTCCTCTTTTCTTACATTTATTCATTTTTTTATGCTTATCTATAGAGGACTAGTCAGAGAGATCAACCTCCTGCCTTATTCCAGGATTTCCAAAGCTTTTTTTTATTTCTGTTACTTACCAAGGCGCCTGTTGCAATTTCTCCCGTCAGTAGAGAAGCATGAAACCTCATTGAATTCGGGCGTTCAGGTTGCTCAGACACGGACCCCACCATCGACGATGAAGCATAGAATCTTCCAGGTCAAACACCTGAGAGCGCTCTAAGACTCAAAATTCAGTCGTCGCTGGTTTCGTCCTGCTGAGAATTGAAGGCTCGCTGGGACCTTAACAGGGGTCTCCAGATGTGGGGGGAAGAGCCATTGTAGCTTCCACCACGTTTAGGCGCCAGGATGTAAGGTTTTCCACTTAGCCTCACAACTGCCCCAGCATTACTCAGGAGCAAAAGAAACTCCTTAGTTGAGCTTTCAGCAAGCAAACAACTTTTATTTTGATCAAAATAGAGTTGGGTGACCCCATCTCTCTTCGTGGCTGGTAGAGAGATGAAGGCAACAACCAGAAAAGATGTCTTCCACCTTTTATACCTTTCCAGAACAAAAAGAGATGATGACTCATACACAGCAACCCAGGCTCCATCCATAACTCCTTTCCCCCTCCCCTTACTGTGCTCTTTTCATATAAGCAATCACTTATACCTAAAGCATGAAGCGCTTACTTTTCCAATATATATATAAAGCATCTTATCAAGCAATTAACTACAAAATAATGATTACAAAATAACAAAAGAATGATTACATGATAACACTATAAGTATCAATATAAAATGGTTACTATATATAAAATAAATGCTAATGTCAAACTTAAACATACTAAAATC